AACTCAAGAGGAACAAAACCCCAATTCCATCAGGAACCCCTCATTCTCACAGTTATTTTGTGAGCCTCACAGTGAGATAATTTCAATGGAAGGAGTGGAGCTGAAAGGAAGGATGCTTCACCTTTGGCTCCATCCATGATCCCCCAAAGGTAGATGAACAAGGAGCGGATTCCCATCTGCAGCAGCAGCTCGTAGCCGTGGTACAGACTGATACACAGGGCAAAATCTCCTTCAATGATGCCTTGGTGGATTCCCTGSGGAGGAARAACAGCWCAGAGTRGAATCAGGAATGGCTGAGGAGCAGRAATYCCAGGGCAGCTCTGACAAAACCCCAGTGGCACCTGAGCAGCAGAGCCGTGCCCATAGAATGCCCAAAGAATGCCCAAAGCTGTGCCCATCCCACCCTCGGGGGCTAAACCCCACAATGCTCAGTAAAGGCAATCCTCCTCCACCCCCAAAACACCTCTGTTAGCTCCCAAAAWCAGCTCATCAACCCTCAGACTCCGACAGCAGCATTTGGGAAAACAAGGATTTCTGGCACATCCCCCCAGGCTGTGAAATTCAGTGAGGAAAGTTGTCTTGTTTGCAGTGAAGGAGATTTCCCATTGTTCTCCTTGAGACACACAGTCTTTTTTTTTTAGGCAATATTCTTTCAGTTTAGAAAATTTGACCATTTTATGAGAATTTGCCAAAAAAAAAATAGGAGCAGCAATATAGTTTTGAGGGGAAAATGAAAATTTGGCTGTCAGCAATTCCAATGTAAGTTCTCAAAACAATTTCACTTAAATCGAGTTCATATTTTCCTTAAATTTCCTTTATTGGCATCCAGAAATGTGGAACAATTATTTTATGGATTTCACAGATGATCTTTAAGATCCCAAACCATGCTGGGATTCGATGATATTTTATTTTAAGGTTAAAACCAGAAATCTACTTAAATAGAGATGAAGTATCTCAGGAAATCTTGGAATTTGGGATTATTTGTATATATTCATTCATTTAGCAACATGAAATAAATAAAGAACTCACTGCATGTTGGCCAGAGGGGTTTTTCCTGTACTGATCCCTTGCCAGGATGATCTGGTACTTGGTCAGGTTGGGAATATCYCTCCTGGATAAAACTCCCACCCTCATCAGGCGACTGGTGAACGCTTCCAGAACCTGCAACCAAAACCCAGAACAGGTGAAATTATTTTATTTTTATAGATCCCACATGATAGAACATGAGCAGCTCACAGGGTTTATTTGAAATAAAGAGTTTTTCCAAGTGAGCTGTGCTGGGTTCTGAGTGTTTTGTTACCATACAGAAGCTGTGCCTCAAGGGAAGGGTTGGCTTTAGCAGGATGTTTTTAGGTTAATTCCCAAAATTCCTGCCAGAACATTTGGAAATAAAACTCCCACCCTCATCAGGCGGACAGCGAACACTTCCAGCACCTACAACGAAAACCCAGAACAGGTGGAGAGAGGAATGAACTTGGAAATTATTTTATTTTTATAGATCTCACACAACAGAATATGAGCAGCTCACAGGGTTTATT